GCTCTGTGAGCCACAACGATGGCTCACGAAAACCTGGAGCGGGCATTTCAGAAAATAAGGCTTCCCGCAGGGGGTTCGGCACCTTTCGATTGCCCGTGACTGGTCTTCAGCAAACACGAGATTGCACAACGTTCTGCGCAGTTCATGCTAGAGGCGGCCTGAGGTCAGCAACCCTTCGCCTCTTGTCAACGCCTTTAACACCAAGTTCGACGGCTGTTCACTCGTATGAACGGAAAAGACAAGGATGCCTCTGTGACAGGTTGAGCTGTGAAAGGATTGGGCGCTCGGGGTGTCGGCTTTCTTGACTAGGACATTGGGCGAAGCCACACCCCTTCAATACTCGTCAACAAATAAGATGCATATCATATATATATATATATATATATATTCTCTATATATATATGTATATATGTATAGGTAAGTACAATATATCTGTATATATATACACACACAACAACAAAGATGTAATTTCCAGATGTCCATCGATCCGCGCCAAGCAGCATCCACGTGTTCAACGGAGGAAGTGCGGTCGAAAATGTTGGCACCTGCCAACAACACCTCAGGAAGCAGGCTGCGGACAGACAGTGTAGCAAACCACTCCAAAAAGGACAACCAATCAGCCCTTGAAGCCTTAAGCCCGCGAGGCCCCACAGAAAACCGTGAACTTCCCAGAAGGACTGCTTGTTCGAAACGGCCTCCTGCTTGGTCGGTATCTTGCTGGCGTGGAAGCCGCCCGCCACCAGGAGGCCTGATCCCAGTGTGTCTCATGGGCACTGTAGGATTTTGGGATACACGGGCTCGAGGGCCTTTAGGTTTCCGGGCCCTCCAATTAGGTTTCCGGGCCCTCCAAAGGTTGTCCCTAAACCCAAACCAAACCCTTGAACCCCACCAGGAAAAACAGCCAAGCCAAGTCGGGATCTGCCCTTAGTGGGCTTTGTCGGGCGCAGTGTGGGCTTTGTGGGGCCAGGACTCAAAGCCTGTTGGTCTTAGGGCTTCAGCCTAACATAACCGGGCGTAAGCAGAGCTTATAAGGTTGAAGGGAGATTGCTGCAGCAGGACTTGCAGATGAGTGAAGGTTGCAGGGGTAGGGACGGAAACAAAAGCAGGTTGCGCCGTGGGACGTCCATTTTTGCAATGCGTACTCCACGGCGTTTAGGTGTGTTACTTGCATGAGTTGTATTGCCGGGTCAAATTGAGAAGGTCTCACGGCTTGTTGGGGGTAGTTTCCATGCCTCAAAAAACGTTAGAGTCCCTAAACCCGAGACCATCAGCCTGGCAGGTCTGGCACGAAAATGGCGCCCCAGTTGGCAAGGATCCTCATGTGGGCAGCTGGGAGCAAAAGGGCTTCTTACTTGGAGGTTCATGGTACTTAGGGTTTAGGGTTTAGGGCTTATTCACCATATTGGGGCACTTAAGGGGCTTTTAAGTACTAAGTACCATGCGCGGTTCATCAAAACGTCACAACGTCAAGTTCCGGTCTTCAGTTCGAGTACTTGCTAGTACTCCCAAACCAATGAGGGAGGCCCTAAATTCATAGCAAAGCCTCAAGCACCTCACTCTTAGGATAGCTCCATGGTCCCTTAATATGGGGACCCATTAAATACCCTTATGTACCCTGTACAACCCAAGGCACCATGCTTCAGATCATGAAGGGACCTTCCTTTAGACCCACTCAACGGCCGGAAGCTCTGGGGTTCAGAGTAATCTTATGAGTGCCTAGGGTGTGGCTAGGTTTTTTCACGCGACACCTAAAACCGTAGAATAGCGCTCAGCCCCGAAGTTCAAAGTCTAAAGATCCCCAAACTCTAAACCCCAAACCATAAACCCCAAACCCCAAACCCTACTCCGAAACGCTAGAGCCCTAACCCTAAACCCCCCAGAGCACATCCCCCCCTCGCTATTGGAGCGGTGCCGCGAAGGCGCTGGCCAACCGACGTGGCACGGAAGAGGCCCTCGGATCGCACCTCCTCGAAGGACTCCGGACGCCGAAGGCGCTCCATGGGGGTTCGGTACACCCTAAGCCCTAAACCCTACACCCCCTTAGCCCTGAGCTAGTTAAGCCCTAATTAAGAACCCTAAAACCCTCAAAGCCCTAAACCTTGAGATCCCTGAACCCTAAACCCTACACCAACCCCGAGAAGGCCTGGAGGAAGTTCCGGCACTGGAAGGGGGTGGAGCTGAGCCAGAGTCCCACCGAAAACCACCCTCAGCACGCCCATGGGCGTTGAGCCGACAAAACCCCAGGAACAAACAAGACTGCCTTATTAACAACCCATAGCCGGACATAACATGACATGTGAAGCTCAATTTCAAGCGATCCACTAGAATTCGGTCTAGTTTAGCAAGCCGAGGGCATTTGCTCAAAAATCAAACCGCTCCCACTCAGCTCATCTGCCTAATGAGCAGACAGCAATATCTCCAAACCTACCAACACAATCCCAACCTCAAGTGGCCTAAACTGCGAAGCTCCGCAAACACTTGAAGCCTAAACCCTAAACCCTAAACCCTGAAACCCAAAACCCAAGACCCTAAACCCTAAACCCTGGAAGCCTAAAACACCCCAACGCGGAACCTTTGGATTTGCGGCTTTGAGGCTTTATAAGGCTTTGCGCAATGCGGTCGCGTACCCCTCACACCCCACATCTCCATCCCAACTGATGGATTAAGCTATGCCATGGCTGTGTGGTATTGGGAGGATTCTGGAGCCTTGCAAACCTGAACACTAATTACCCCTTCAAGGACGACGGCCCTTTGCATGTAGGTTCTTTCAGCGGCTCTGCGTTGCAAATCGTCGCGGGGGAGAGCACAGCCTGCGAGAAGATGTTCGTCGACTTTTCGCGCGCGTGGCGCGCTCTAAGCATGTTGAGGGAAGTCCACGGCATTAGCGCAGAGTTGACGTAAGGCCGGCTCCAAGCCCTTCAGGCTCTGAGCCAGGGTTCAGTGGTTGCTGTGAACTGTAGCATCCCGAATCAATCCCCTCCCCCCCCTAGAAGCCCTGAGTTAACTTAACGCCCCAAACCTGTTGTGCATTGCTCGGGAAATCGGGAAAAGCACAAGGCACGGCTGCCACCTCTAAAAGCGATATGCCCTTCTAAGGCACGTGGGCATGTGAGAGGAAAGGTCTCTTTAGCAGATTGTGTGTTTCATGCTAAACCTTCAGGGTCTTTACACGGTCTACAGAGTTTCGCATTTAAATTTAAGAAGGCACCAAGATCCTCCGACCCTTTTGGGTCCGAGCGATGCTTCGAGGGTTGGAAGTTCGAAGCAAGCAGACCTCGCGCACACACGCACGCACGCACATGCGCAGACAAAGACGCACGCACATTCACATTCACATATACACACACACACACACAACCAAAGTATTTGCGAATCTGGAGCGGAACTCCCGATGCACTCTCCGGCTACTTTTCAGGTACTTAAGAACGGCCTCAAACCAGATCACTGCTCTGCCTACGGCATATTTCACGCCAGTGGCTCTCAGACTCTATGATCGAAACGTGTGATGTTCGTGGTTGTTGTCGTGACCTTGGTTTTCTGCTCAGGCCTCTGCATAGGAAGCAGCCGGAGGAGCAAATGTTTGCTCTACAAGCAGACCCATCAGTGGCAGGGCAGCTTGCAAGCGCTTGCCACTCTGCCACATGGCCAAATGACGAAACCAGACTCTTAGAGCCTGTAAGAAGTAAGAAAGCCCCGAGGCCCCCAAAGTGCAAACCGCGCCCGGGTTCAGCTCAGCGTGTCAAGCGTTCTCTGCACACCTGAACTCCGGCGAGGGCACGGTGCTGCTTAGAGCCTGGTCTTATCCACGTGTCCCTAGGCACTTTCTTATCAAAAACCTTTTCCATGCACGACCAAGTTGCAACGGTATGTGGGATGGGTGGAATGTCTTTTGTTTGGTTGGAAGTCGCACGGAACAGAGGGACCTGGCAAGACTTGAAGGGTGTTCAGGGGTTGCGGGAGGGGCGGGTCAAGATCTGTAGGTGACAGTGTTTAGGTTTGCTTCAGACAGCGACATGGGCTGAGCAGTGCGAGCATCTGCCTTTCTGCAGCCCGGCAAGTGTGCCACATGATGCACAAGAAGCCCTCTCGCAACTGTTGATCTTGACATCCCCCTGTCAAACTCCAGAGACAAGAAAGCCTTTGGGGTAGATTGGAAGCCGGTAATCACAGCCTTCATGTGATCCACTGCTTGATTTTGGACCTAAAGCCATGAAAAAGGGGTTTCACTTAAAAATCACTTAAAGCTCTGGGTATCGCTCCGCTCCCCATGAACAACCTGAAAAAGGGCCCCCCCGAGAAGGTATTCCTTAGGGTTTAGGGATTAGGTCGCAAAAAAATTTAAAAAAAGTTGAGGAATAACGGGTTTAGGGATTAGGGCTCAGATTCTAGGGCTGAGGAATAAACAAGTTTTAGGGATTAGGGCTCAGATATCAGGGTTGAGGTGGGAAGGCGTTCGGAATGAAGGCATAGGGATTAGGGTGAAAACATTAGGGTTGAGGAATAACAGTGTCTAGGGTTTAGGGCTTCGGGTTGGAAAATTAAGCTTGAGGGACGAGGGCTGAGAGATTGAAGCTAAGGGCTTTGGCCTTCGAAATTAAGTTTTAAGTAGTCATGACCCTAATTTTAAATCGGTTTAGTATTGGGTTGCTTTTTCTGCTGGGATTTGGGTCCAGGTGCTGTTTGTTGTTCGGTGTTTAGTGTTAGGGGGAAGGGATTACATGGGTATCGCGTTTGGGAAAAGGTATCGCTCTCCCATTCCCAACCAAATGACGCTATTCACTCTGTACACACATATTATGTAAGCGCTCAATTTACTCTTCTCTCATATATCTTTTCATTTGCGGCATAAAAAGCTCAATCCTTGCGACCTGCATAATGATAGACATGATAGATGTCAGGGAAAGAGAAAACGCTTGATGCATAACAAGGCATCCTTTGAATCTCGCGAAAGAACGAAGACTGCAATCTGATCCCGTCGTGCAGTAACCTTCGCTTCGGTCTCATGGGTTCGTTGAGATTGTAATCGCATAAACACAGTCATCAATGACAGTCAAACTTCGCAAGCCAGGCAAGTTCACGCCTCGAAGATTCCCGTCATTATAGACACAGAGACATTGTAAATTTGGCAGATCCACTCCTTGCAGTCCTTGCTGAAAATCCTGTCCGAAACCCAGCTCTTGAAGGCCTCTCGGCAAAACCACTCCCTCCAAGCTTTGATCGAAAGCAAGACCGAAGTGTAAGCGGCGGAGGCCGCTCGGCAAGATATCTCTCCGCAGGCTCTGATTGAAAAAGTCACCAACGCACAAGCATTGAAGGCAGCTAGGCAACATGACACCCTCACTTTGGTCGAACTCACTCCCGAGAATCAGCTGTTGAAGACTGCTCGGCCACACGACTCCTTCTAGGCTTTGGTTGAAGTTGGAGCCGTAAGGACCGACAGTCAGGTCTTGTAGCCCATCTGGCAAGTTCACTCCTTGCAGGCTCTGGTTAAAACCTTCGCCCAAAGTCAAGCTTTGAAGACAGCTTGGCAACCTGACTCCCTCAAGGCTTTGGTCAAAGTTGAGACCGAAAGTCAGGTTTCGTAGCCCATCTGGCAAGCTCACTCCCTGCAAGCTCTGGTTAAATGCGGACCCGAATGTCAAGCTTTGAAGACAGCTTGGCAATGTGACTCCCTCAAGGCCCTGATTGAAATCAAGACCAAAAACCAAGTTTCGAAGACCCTCTGGCAATGTCACTCCTTGCAGGCTTTGATTAAACGCGTGACCGAAAGTCAAGCTTTGAAGACCCACGGGCCAGATCGTCCTTTCCAGGGGTTGGTTGAAACGGACACCGAAAGTCAAATGTTGAAGGCCCCTTGGCAAGGTTCCGGTCAGGGCATGGTCATATGAAAACCCAAAAGTCAAACTTTCGAGGCCATCAGGCAGGCTTGCACCATCCAGGCTCTGGTTGAAGTATGGACCGAACGTCAAGCTTCGAAGGCCGTGTGGCAGGATCTCTGAGATCTCTGAGAGATCCCAAGACCAGTAGAAATTCTCTGTCAGGCTTTGAAGACTCTGTGGTAAGATCACTTCCTCCATGCCTTGGTTGAATTCATGCCCGAAAGTCAACTCTTGAAGACCGTCTGGAAAATTCACTCCCTGCAAGCTCTGGTTGAAGGCCCTCCCGAACGTCAAGCTTTGAAGACCGCTGGGCAGTATGACTCCTGCGAGGCTTTGGTTGAAACTGTCACCAAAAGTAATCTTTTGAAGACTGCTCGGGAACATGACTCCTTCCAGGGTTTGGTTGAAGTGGCAGCTATGACCGAAAGTCAACTCTTGAAGGCCGTCTGGCAAATTAACTTCCTGCAGGCTCTGGTTGAATGCACTCCCAAATGTCAAGTTTTGAAGACGACGTGGCAACGTGACCCCCTCGAGGCTCTGGTCGAAGTAGTCACCGAAAGTCAGGTTTCGTAGCCCGTCTGGCAAGCTCACTCCCTGCAAGCTCTGGTTGAATGCGCCCCCGAATGTCAAGCTTTCAAGCCGGCTTGGCAACGTGACTCTTTCGAGGTCCTGGTCAAAGAAGCCATCAAAATTAAAGGTCAAGCTTCGAAGACTTTGAGGCAAGTGACATGAATAGTCTCCAGGCGGTGGGCAGCCTTCCACTTCCAATCTTGTCACTCCCTCCAATGCAAATTCCTCTTGCGTATGCCCCAGAACGAAACGCATTGCAACAATCAAGTCCGTGGGCACAAAAGTACACGAGAGGCAGCAGTTGCTTGTAATACCCTGCTGCTCCAAGGTTTGATCCAGGCACAGTGGTGCAACGTGGTGCAGCACGAGACGACTTCCAGGCTTGTCCACTTGCTCCGAAACCATCTTCCATACCGAACGGCCAGGGGTCCAAGGAGGCACGGTCAGCTGTAGCCCTTGACCTCCCATGTAAATCACCTGGAGGTCGATTGACGCGAGGCCACCATGACCACTGCGGTTTTCGCTTGACATTGCACCGAACTGCCAAAGGCTTTGCACTGGCACCGGTGATGCTGACTGGCTAATGCTACTGGTGCATCTTTACACATTTGTGCCAGTCATACCGCTTCCAGGACTCCCGCCCCTACTGCCGCTACTGCGACCATGACAGCCAATGGTCCCTTCATATGAGGACCCATTATATACCCTTATGTACCCTATGCAACCCAAGGCCCCAGACGTCAGACTGTGAAGGGACCTTCCTTTAGACCCACTCAACGGCCGGAAGCTCTGGGGTTCAGAGTAATCTTATGAGTGCCTAGGGTTTAGGAATTTGGCTGGATTCTTACGTGCGACACCTAAACCGTACAACTCCCTAACCGGCAGCGCTCAGCCCTAAGCCCACCTTCCAAAGATCCCCCAAACCCTAAACTCTAACCGGTGCCGCGAAGGCGCCAACCGATGTGGCACGGAAGGGGCCCTCGGATCGCCCCTCCTCGAAGGACTCCGGACGCCGCGCTCCATGGGGGTTCGGTACACCCTAAGCCCTAAGCCCTAAGCCCTAAGCCCTAAGCCCTAAGCCCGAAGCCCTAAGCCCTGAAATCCCTAAACCTTAAAAATCCCTAATCCCTAAACCCTAAAATCTAAAATCCCTAAACCCTAAAGTCTACCCTAAGCAGTCCGGAGGAAACGGAAGTTCAGCCGCTAAAGAAGGGGTGGAGCTGAGCCAGAGTCCCACCGAAAACCCCAAACCCTCAGCACGCCCATGGGCGTTGAGCCGAAAACCCCAGGAACAAACAAGAGTGCCTGATAACAACCAAACTTGTGTAATCAAAAGCTAACTTCAACACATATTGTCATCAGCATACCCAGACATAACACCATGTGCGAAACATAATTGCTACCGATCCACTAGACTTCGGTCTAGTTAAGCAATCCGATGGCATTTGTCTCAAAAACTACTCGCTCCCGCTCAGCTCAGCAGACAGCAATTTCTCCAGAGCTACCAACACAATCCCAACCTCAAGTGCCCTAAACTGCGAAGCTGGTTTAGGGTTTAGGGTTTAGGGTTTAGGGTTTAACCTTTGCATCTCCGTCAGAACCAACTTACTGATGGATTGAGCTACGCCATGGGTGTGTGGTATTGGGAGGATGATGAAGCGAGCCTTGCAACCCAAACCCATGGTTGGGATAGTACTAAAGACCTTTGAATTTCCATTCCTTATTGGGTTTAAGTACCTGTGAACATGTAAACTGTTACCCAACCATGACAAAGTAAACCCTTCATGGACGACGCTCCTTTCCATGTCGGTTCTCACAGCGACTCTGCGCTGGAAATCGTATCGTCGCGGGGGAGAGTACAGGGTGCGAGAAGATGTTCGTCGACTTCTCGCTTGCGTGCCGCGCTTTAAACATGTTGGGAGTTTACGAACATCAGGGGCGCCAGATATACCCCCCCAAAAAAAGAAAATATATAACAGGATTCCTTTGGACTAAGAACCCCAATAACGGTACCCCTATATCGGAAACCCCCTTGTTGGGGGAGAAGTCCACGTCCTTCGCGCGGAGTTACAAGGTCGGCTCCAAGCCCTTCAGGCTCTGAGCGCCAGAGTTCAGCGGCTGCTGTGAGCTGTAGCATCCCGAATCTCTAAGGGTAGTTACATGGTCCCTTAGTAAGGGTACCGATGATATACCCCTTAAAATACCCTATACAAGTTAAGGGGCCATACATCAGAACCCTTTAAAGGAGGTTAGCCCCTAGAGAATCAAGCCCCTGCAGGCCCTGAGTTAACTTAACGCCCCAAACCTGTTGTGCATTGCTCGAGAAATCGGGAAAAGCACAAGGCACGGCTGCCACCTCTAAAAGCGATATGCCCTTCTAAGGCACGTGGGCATGTCAGAGGAAAGGTCTCTCAAAGAGATTGTGTATTTCAACGCTAAACCTTCAGAGTCTATACGGTCCACACGGTTTCGCATTTATCAAGGCTCTAAGATCCTCCGTTGGAAAAATGCCAGCGCAACGAGCATCGGAGATCTCACGACCCTTTTGGGTCCGAGCGATGCTTCGAGGCTTGGAAGTTCGAAGCAAGCAGACCTCACGCACGCACACACGCACGCACACACACATACACAGACACTCGCACGTATATATACACACACACACGCACGCATATTATTTGCGAATTTGGAGCGGGGCTCCCGATGCACTCTCCGACTACTTTTCAGGTGCCAAAGCGAAAATTGCGTAAACCCTTCTTAAGAACGGCCTCAAACCAGATCACTACATTGCCTACATACAGCGTATTGACTCTCAGACTCTGTGATCGTGTGATGTTCGTTGTTGTTGTTGTTGTTGTTGTTGTTGTTGTTGTTGTTGTTGTTGTTGTTGTTGTTGTTGTTGTTGTTGTTGTCATTGTGACCGTCGTTTTCTGGGCCTCTGCATAGGAAGCAGCCGGAGGAGCACACATGTTGCTCTTCTACCAGACCCATCAATTGCAGGTTACATGCGCGTGCGAAGCTCGCGCCTCACCCCGTTAACCCTTTTAAAAGGCTCGAAACCGAGAGCCGCCCAACCCCCCAAAAACACATGGAGAGGGTTCTTGGAACCCTAAACCCTAAACCCTAAACCCGAAACCCTAAACCCTAAACCCTAAACCCCTAGGTGCTGTTTGATCCTTCGTGGAGCCGTGACATTCAGCTCAGCCTGTCAAGCGTTCTCTGCACACCTCAACTGCGACAGCAAGAACTCTGTGCTCTTGCGGGCACGGTGTTGCTTTATATAGGGGCCTTAATAATGTTCTTTTTTTTTTTGGGGGGGGGGGGTTATAGGTATGTTTAATCAAGGGACCCTAAGGGAATGCGTATATTCGAGGCCGGTGTTGCGTGGCTTGGCTTGGCACTGCAGACTTGAGAAGCCTTTCCATCGCGCGGCCAGGTTGCAGGGCTTGGTAGGTGGCATCGGTGGAAGGTCTGGTGGCTGGCTGCAAGTCGCAAGGAACAGAGGGGCCTGGCGCAAGGTTTGGAAGGGTTCAAAGCTTACAGGGGCTGGTGTAGATGTAGGATACCAGGTTCGAAGAGCCAGACCTCGACATGGGATGATTCTTTGGGAGGCTTTGTTGTCTCTGAAGTTCGGTCTCATTTGAAAACCGCCCAGCCGGATATCGGCTGCAAATGTACCCCGCCCCCCCCCCCCCCCCCCCCCACACGCGCACACGCACACACGTGCTCGCGCACGCGCGCGCGCACTGCAGCTCTGTGTCACTCGACCCATGTCACGTCTGTGAAATGCCCAGTTGCGCACAGGCACCCAGAACCGTTGATTGTTATAGCCCCCCCCAGTCAGGAAACTCCAGCTGCACGATCTCAACACAGACTCCCCAAGAATCTGATGTCGGTTGAAGGATTAGCTCTTTTCTGCACTTATGATCAAAACAAGAAACACAGGAGCCTCTCTTTGCATGCACAAAATGGGTCTGATAGGGGATGAGGTCCCGGTTGCCACACCCGCATTCGCGTTCTGCTCGTGAGTTGGCTAGGGTCGAGGGTTTTGCTGCTTCGGAAATGCTCCGAATGTTCTCTGTCAGGTTTGCTGGGATCACCCGTAGTGAAGAGCTGTGCGGGCAGACCGTGGCCAAGGGTCTAGATGCCCTAATCTGGTAAGTTTTGGAGCCTTCTCCTTTGGGGAAGCCTTCTTGGCAGGCTTCTTTGGGGAGCCTTGTCAAAGTGCCTGCGGGGTCATTCGGGGGCCTGCTGTTGAGAAGCTAAGATGTTTGAGGTAGATCATGGTAGATCGACGGAGAGGGTCTCTAGGCGAAAAGCTTTGGCAGCTTCGATTTCGGAAGCAATTGAACAGTCCATCGAAACTGCAGATTCGAGGTGAACACCTTGCAGGTTGCTTCGCGTGTGGGTGCAACATGGGCGCATTCTGAAAGACTCGACACGACCCTAAACTCCTACTGCAATGCCCCAAGCACTACGCCCTGTATAGCTCCACGACGTATTGTGTTTGGGCGTCGACTTGTACGTGAAGCCGTGATGTCTCTAGCTAATGACCACAAGTGCACACTGGGATGTAAACATGTGTGGCTTTTCTTGGGGCCAAAACCAAAGCCCTTAGCCTGAAATGCCACCACCACCAAAGAGGTACTGCAGCTGCAGGAGAAGCGCCAGCACAACGAGGAGGAAGGCGGAGCGAGCTTGGTAGAGGAGAATAAAGGTGCCGCTGGCACAGACAGCAAGATATGCATGTGCCGTTGCACCGCTGACGACAGTCAGAACACCCTTCAAGCATGTGGACTGGATGGACAATGTGCCTTTGAGCATGCGGAGATAGATGGGGTAGACGATTGGGAAGACCAGCAGTACGTTTGTCAGCCAGCCGATCGCGCTGGCCCACAGAAAGTCTGCATACGATTCGGCTCCGTACGATGCAATGCACTCTGGATTGGCGCAATTGAGTATGTCCACCAAGGAATAAAAGTTCAAGGGCATGGCAGCTGCAAGGCATGTGCCATAGGGCACGTGAAGCTCACCCCCGACAGCATCAAAAACGCACGAACGCAAGGACTCCTGAACGTACACGTTGAAAGCATCCAGGGGTCTTTCGTCCATCATCATGCAAATGGGCTCGCCTGGCAAGTAGGAGAATGCATCCTCGTCTGCCACAGTGGATGCAGTCAGCTGGTGACCTGCTTTCAGCTCCCCCTCAGGACCCTCAGGGCCCATCACCTCCGTCGCTTCAGCACGAAAAAGCTCCCGAATCTGACGCTGCACCAGGCGGCGGTCTTCCTCCTGCGTGCACTGAGCACCCCGGCAGTCGAAAGAGGCCATCTGCTCCAGCATCAGGGCATGGCTCCTCAACTTGATCTTGCAGGAGGAGGACCAGGCCAAGGCCACCACGAGCCCCAGAACTGCTGCGCCCAGCGCCTTAAGGTCCCTGAAGGACAGCCTACAGCCTATAGCCTACAAGCTTCACTATACATCTACTAACTGTAGAAAAACGGATCCTGCTGCCCGCTGATCCGACCCAGTCGCCGCACCTGAGGACACGCCAAGTGGCGTCTGCCAGAAGTGGGTCGGTGCAACCGCGTTCAGGAGGGAAACAAGCTTTTCCGTAGTGAGGACCTCCTTAAAGCGCTTGCTGTCGTAGGATCTTGCTTTTGAATGTCGCTACACATGACAAAGCAAGGGGGGGGGGGACGGGGCGGAGCCGAACCCGTTTGCTAAGGAGCACACTGGTTTGGACAACCAACACACAACCCCAAAAACCGAACACGGGGGTGCCCCAAAGTCACTGACAAATTAGGACCCCAGGTTCCATCTGAAGGTAGATCACTGTGACCAGTGTGAGGTTCATGGCCAATGCCGAGAGCAGCCATGGCGCAAGCCACAGCGGCAGGAAGGCCACCTGGCGCAGCCCAAAGCCGACTATCGTCTCCTTAAAGGATTCTTAGGGACATACCCCCCTTGAATCCCCCTCCCTTAAGAACCCTATAACTATACTCCCCTCAGAACCTTAATAAAAACACTATTTTTAATACCCTCTTGAGTTTTAGATAAACAAAAATGGAAAATAATTCACAAGGGGGATATAGATAACCCTAAACCCTAAACCCTAATAGCAGGAAGGCTCATGACCACACCTTTTGGGAGCCAGCTTCTGCAGCTCTCCTGCCTTCTGAAGGTTTAGGGTTTAGGGTTTAGGGTTTAGGGTTTAGGGTTTAGGGTTTAGGGTTTAGGGTTTAGGGTTTAGGTTCAGTGCTTTCGTGGTCTAGATCTCACACTTCGGGCTGACTGGACATCAACGTACACTAAACCAAACCCTAAGAGCTACGATTTGCTTAAGAACCCCCCACAAATAGAAAAAAATGAATAATAACAATCCCTATCTTGCCCTAGTAAGGAAGACTTTGAAGCCGGAACCCGACGCTTGACATTCCAGCGCCACACCTTCCTCACCCCGCCGTGCTTGGCAAAGGTGGCCAGCTCCAACCTTGGTTGGCTTTTAGGGGCTGTGGGGGTTTAGGGTTTAGGGTTTAGGGTTTTACCAAACCTCTCTCTGTGACTCATAGTAAAGTTAGGTCCCTTTGCAAAGAAGCCGAAGAAACATCTAAGAACCCAAACCCCAAAGTTCGAAGCAACAAACATACCCTGGGCCGACGAAGTAGCTGGCACCAAAGACGTTGAAAGTACTCATCGTCCCAGAGCCTTGTGATGGCGAAGGAACGGCTTGAAAAGGTTTAGGCGGTTCAGGGTTTGGGAGCTTACCCAAAACAATCGCTTGAGGCATGATGTTCAATGCCCGGACGCATGAGTTGGGTGGGGGCATGTTCAGGGATTGTGGAGCTCATTGTCCACAACTTTGGGTTTCAGGGTTCAAGACTCTGATGCCCTTCACCTTGCCCCGAACAAAGGCATCAAGCCAAGCCGCACGAGCATGGAGGTTGACCGGGCGACGAACACAGGTAGTGCGTGAATCTGTCGAAGCTTTAACTCCTGGTCCTTGGGCACCAAAAAACTGTGCCAGAAGATTCTGATGTTAGGGCGAATCATACTTTGCTCGTGCTTGAAGTGCAGAAAAGGGTGGACAGGGTGTGTGCTGCATAGGGTTTAGGGTTTAGGTTCTAGGGTTTAGGGTTCGTTTCACCAAGGGTCGGTCTGGTGTATGCACGCACGATCCAGCCAAAGGCGGGGCTGCCCGCATGGGTGCACAGCATGGTGGCCCAAGAACAGGGCCAGAAGAAACCTACACTCCCCTGAGAACCTCAATAAACATACTATTTTTGCATATCCTCCTGGGTTTTATGTGAACAAAAAATTCGAAAAAAATACTTCCCAAGGGGGGCAAGAAGAAACGTGGCCATGGGGAAGAAGACGAGGACCGGAAGCAACCTCAGGTGGGGACCCACACGCTCCGGACGCCTGAAACCCTAAGACATGTAGGGGCCTTAATAATTAGAACAGGGTTGGGGGGTTATTCTAGAATAGAAGTATACAGGGACCATGAGGGAATGCTACTAGCAAGTATCCCGACCCCCGAAGAATACACGCCCCAAGCTTTTTTTCAGCGACCTAGAGCCGGTGGACTTTGCTTGCTGTCTCGAAGGTTGCGCTTCGGATTCTTAGTTTCTGAGTTCATAAGCCCCCAAAAAAATGTACACGTTCAGTGGGGAACACAGTATCCCAAGAAGTGTAAAGTGTGCTCACTCAGCTGCTAAGGACATCGCTGGGAAGGTGCTACCTGCCTTGCAACACAAGGCCTTTGAAACGAATTCAGCCCTGCGACGACTACCCTCTTAGCATGCGGGGGTTGCCATTGAACCCAGGAGATCCCTAGAGGCCCTATAATCCTAAACCCCTAGACCCCCTTAATGGCCTCTAAAGGCCTTTCAGGCCCTAAAGGCCTTAAACCCTAAACCCTAAACCGCCTGAAAACCGAGAAGCGCCGGACTGTGGCTGAGTCTGGGAAGGTCCCCGTGGCTCGCGGCGACAAGAACCAGAGCAGCCAGTGACCAGGCTGCCACTGAGCAGACCACGGCCACCGGCAGGTTCCTTGACCCACAACTATAGAAGCAAGGGATTTGGGGTTTAGTTAGGGTTTAGTTTTTTTTTTTTGGGCCTTTGTTTGGGGTTTGAGGAGTTCCCGCTTCAAGGGGTTGCAGAACCGAGGCTCCAGAAGAGGCACATCGCCAAGTATTTGGCCCAGCTGTCTGAGCCGCATCGATGGCTCACGAAAACCTTAGGGTTTAGGGTTCAGGGTTCAGGGTTTAGGGTTTAGGAGGGCAGGCAACTTCAGAATATCTGAAGTAGCCCGGAGGCCATGAACAATGGTTGCTTTATGAGGGAACCATAATAAACCAAGGGTACCCCTTTTTGGGGTTGGTTACTTTCTAATTATAAGGGAACCTTGAACCCAAAAAACCTTACCGGGCGATCGAGAGGCTGCCCCCCCTTCACCCTCGCGCCCCCCCGCCCCCCTCCCCCGCCCTCCCCGCCCCTTCCCCCCCACTTGAGCACCAAGGAGCATCCACGTGTTCAACGGAGGAGGTGCGGTTGAAAATGTTGGCACCTGCCTCCAACACCTCAGGAAGCAAGGGTGTGGAGAAAGAGGATTGAAGCACCCTCCCCCCCCCCCCCAAAAAAAAAAATGTAATAATAAAAAACAAATAAATAAATCGTGAACTTCCCAGAAGGATTGGCCCTGAGTCGAAGCGGCCTCCTGCTTCGTCGGAATCTTGCCGGCGCGGAAGCCGCCTGTCACCAGGAGGCCTGATCCCACTGTACTTGGAGGATCATGGGTGGATACAAGTGGGGTTAGAAGAAAGGTATCTATGTAAGTAAAACTGGTTTTTAACCTCATTTAGGGCATAAGTAAAACTGGTGTTAAACCTCATTTAGGGTATATGTAGCCCTACTTATAACTACCCATGAACCTTCAAGTAGCCCCTCTCAGACCTCTTAAGAAGGCCTCTGCCAACATAAGAATCCCTCGCTCCCGTTTATCAAACCCCAACCCTACAGGAAGCCCTCGAGGGCTGGCGCCCAGAGCCCTATAACCCCGGCACCGTGAGAGCTGGAAAGGACAGCTCACATGGGGCTTTACGATATGGGTGGTATACCTTCTTGGGGTCCCTATCATACTTCTGATGAGGGGATCCTACTACTTGGAGGGGGGGGGGGGGGGTTCTGTTTCTAGGGGCCCCCTATGTTATGCCCCCACATCCCGTCCGGCTCTGACAGGCCTTGTCGGGTGCTCTTTTTGTACCCGGTCACTCTCTGGGACTTCCAGGCAAGGGCCCATGCGTCGGTCGTAGGCCCTTAACCCCTCCTAAGCCTAAATCTCCTAAATCTCCTAAATCTCCTAAATCTCCTAAATCTCCTAAATCTCCTAAATCGCGGAACAACCCTTATCTCTAGCTTAATATGAGCTGCTCACTGCTTTCAAGCGTTGACGCTGACGGGACACTTAAACTGCTACAGAAGAGAATGCTCGTTAAGAACAGCACCCCCGCCCCCCCTCACTTTTCATGAACATGGGTTTAGGGCTTAGAGTTTAAGGTTTCGGGAGAATGTCAAAGAGCACAGGCCCCCCACAGCGCACCCCGCACTCCAAGCGGGACTGAAACGAGCGAGAGGCCCCGAAGAAACTCGTGGGGGCACTGCCTGGAAGGTCTGGCACGAAAATGGCTCCCCAGTTGGCAAGGATCCTCATGCCGGGCGCGCGCGGAGTTCGAGGTGAAGGGCTTTAGGGCTTTAGGGTTTTAGGGTTTAGGGTTTAGGGTTTAGGGCTTAGAGTTTAGGGTTTAGGGTTTAGGGTCCCGGGGCTTTAGGGTTCCTGGTCTTGGGTGTCTTAGATTCGTGAGGCAAGCCCCGGCCTTCGGGTTCGAGCGCTCCCAAAGCCATGAGACCTCAATCCTGAACCCCCCGTTTGAAACAAACCCTACAGCACCGCACTCGCCGAAACTACATTCCCATGGTCCGGGTGCTACTTCGTGCAGAAAGATGGCCGAACAAACCCTGAGACCTACCAGCTCTTGAGGGTTCAGAGTAGTCTTCTGATTGCTTAGTAGGGTTTGTAGGGTTTACGGACTAGGCTGGATTTGTGCAACACCCCTGCGCCCCAAACCCTCAATGCTATATAACTACGCATCCCTAACCCAACCCTAAACCTAAACCGTAACCCCTTAACCCTACACCCTAGACCCTTAACCCTAACCCCGGGGATGCTCCGAGGCACTGCCCCACCGACGTGGCACGGAAGAGGCCCTCGGAACACAAATCCTCGAAGGACTCCGGACGCCGAAGGCGCTCCATGGCAGGGGGGGAGTTTGGTGGGGATCTGAACCCCCCAAAGACCGAGAACCCCCCCCCAAGAACACCCCAACGATGAAAGGGGAGAGATCAGGGGCTGGAGGGGTCGGTTGCAAAACCCGAAAAGGCCCTTAAACCCTTCAACCCTTCAACCGATAGCCCTAAACCCTAAACCGCCCTCCTACCTGTGAGGCTCCTGCCTTTGAGGTAGGTAAGACATGAGGCAACTCAAGGCAGCCGCTTAAAAACACTCAAAAGGTGTCTCATGCGTGGAAGTCTGGTTAGGGTATAGGTTCAGGGCCCAGCTGCGCTTTCGAGCTATCCGGTTTGGTGGTGCTGAGATACTTCCGGTGCTGTTTCGCAGCCTTCGCAGAGTTCGGCCCAAAAAACTTAAACCTGTGTCAGCACGTTGACGAACACCACGGCGCCGCATTTTTTCCTCAGTGCCCGTCCGGGATGCACAGGGCGGCGCAGCGCGGCCCTGCTCCTGCATTGCCAAGTTTGACATGGTTCCTGTCTCAAGGTTCTGAAATCTATTGAAATCTCCTACTCTCCAAGTTCACCTCCGCAGTCTCCATCATCGTAACATCGTTCGTCTCTACCGTAATCAGTCTCTACCCTACGCAATCCCTTGCAGACCCTGAGGGACATCCACGCCATGAAAAAGCGGAGGAGGCACACGAAAAACAACTAATGTACAGAGCACCCTCTATGCTACTGATGTAGGCTCCGACCAATGATAAAAGCACCCAGAGGATTCAGAGCCTTCGCCACACGACTTGCCTGATGAGCCGCTGAGAACTTCAAGAGCTGCAAAAGCGTTTGGGCTCTGGGCCTCAGGGCACGAGTGCAATGGACGGGGAATTCTCACACTCGATGCTGAGATTTTGAGGCCGCCGTGAAATTTATCACTATATAACTTTATCTACCTCCCATTGGGCACATTAAATCAGCCTACCTCTTTCCGACCTTTTACAAAGTCAAACCCGTCTGACCTTTGCGGGGAAACCCTAAACCCTAACCCTAAACCCTAATCGAAACATGGTCAAGTAGAAGTGCCTCGGCCTTGCGATGTCCGGCTTCTGCAGCAGTCGCCTCCACATGTACTTGGGGTTTAGGGTTTAGGGTTTAGGGTTTAGGGTTTAGGGTTTAGGGTTTAAGGTTTAGGGTTCAGGGCATTAGGACCTCAAGGGTTGGCCCGGCCCTAAACTAGCCCGAAGAACTTGTAGATTGATCCCAAGAACTTTGAGAGCTCGAAGGGTGGAGTCTGCTAGAGGTGTACCTTTCCTCTTTTTGAGGTGTACCTTGCGATATCCTGCTGATTTGGTATCCTTGCCCACCGGAAAGCTTGTGCAAGTAGCACCTACAGAGTCGAAGGTCCTAAGCCCGAAAGCAAGATTCCGGTCTTTCGGATTCGGCCTCCCTCAGACTCACAGATCCCTAAACCCTCCCCAGAATACTTAAGAGTACTCTTGTGAGGGTTTAGGGCGCAGGCTTATTCTGCAGCACCCGATAGCATCAGCCCTGAACCCTAAACCCCAACCCCCAAACCTAAACCTCAAACCCTGAACCCCAAACCCTGCACCCCAAACCCTAAACTCCCCTCTGTACAGCGCACAGTGTGCAACCCGAACCCCTGCACATCAAACCCTACAAACCCCGGATCCTTCATCCTAAAGCCCCTAAACCCCCCAAAGCAGGAAGAAACGAATGGCACTTTTTTATGGGCTTTGGCTGCTTGCTTACATACTTTGGGGTGAGCCCAAGGAAACCCTAAAATCCTAAACCTCAAACCCTCAAACCCTCAAACCCCCAAACCCCCAAACCCTCAAACCCTCAAACCCTCAAACCCTCAAACCCTCAAACCCTCAAACCCTCAAACCTCAAACCCTAAAGCCTAAACCCCAAACTCCCTGAACCCGACTACTTGGAGGTTCATGGGCAGGTCTAAATGGGGTTAAAAGCAAGGTGACTAAATGTAGTTATAATTGGTTATAATCTTATGTAGGGTACTTATAACCCCACTTATCACTATGCCCATGAACCTTCAAGTCTTCAGTGGCCCAGGAAAAAAGTTTAAAAGTACATACTCTTGAAGGGCCACTTCCCCAATATCACCCCCAAAAAGTACAACACGTGCACTACTGGACATCCTAGGAAGAGGCCCTCGAAACGGACCTCCTGGAAGCCGAAGCCGCCGCAAGACGCTCCATGGAAGGGGGGCTTTAAGGGCCTTTGGTGTTGTTGGGGTCGAGAAAAAACCAGCCCCCTGAACCCTGAACCCTAAACCCTACTTCCCAAGAACTAAACCCTAAACCCTAAACCCTAAATCCTAAACCCTAAACCCTAAACCCTAAACCCTGAACCCTAAACATTGAAATGGGAGCTCCAGGGCTGGAGAAGGGTCGGTGGTCCCGTGCTCTCACAGAGTCTCGGTCCTGTTCTGCATTGAGCCGAAGTGCCACGGGAAGACATCCCTCCTTAAAAGCGTGAGCTCGAGGGTGTCTCATATGCGCGCAAGCCGGCTTGAGGATCCGACTCGAGATGGGCGCAGGGGCCCGGGAGCTTTCGAGAGCCATGCGGTTTTGGGGGGCTCCAGTGTTCGCGTTCCTTAAAACGTTTAGGCTGGAAGAATGTAGAGTATTCGGCATGCCTTTTTCTCGACCTGGAACGCAACTAGCAAGCAGGCTGCAGACATTCTCGGATCACCCAGCTGGCCCTCGCACTTGCGTATGGGCATCGGGGTTGAAGGTGCAGGGTTTTGACTTCAGGCTTTGTGCAATCGTGACCGTGACAAATTGTTCGAAGCTGCTATCAACACCTGCGGATGTTGAAGAAGTTTTAACTGCATCATGCTGACTTTAGCGACTGGGCACGGGGCAGGAAGCTCAGATGCGCCTTCCTCCTGGCAAGCGGTGCATAGCGGGAACGAACTGCAGCAATGGGGAATTGCAGAAACCTCCAAAGAGCTCCGCATGAAGTAGATCTAGGTGCAGAACATGACGTTCTCTCGGATCTCTTCTCTTTTTCGGGCGCGGTTCCGACCGTGGGCAAGTGCCGGATCGGCAACTCAAGCAAGCCTTGTGGAGCTTCATGAACTCAAGCAAGCGTCGTGTTGCAAATGTGCCTTCTGCCAGCAAATCAGCTTCGCTGCTAGATCGGCAGGGTCAAGGTTCACGAGCTTCTTTCCACAGACGGCCCACAGAGCCTGCAAGAAGACCAGCCCAAGCGAGATCATCCATCCCTGAAGCAGCGTGAGGGTCACCGTAACTCCAAACAGCCTTTGCTTGTGCTCCGTCACCTCAGCCTGCCTCTGGACAGCATGAATCAAGGCACCTGTCAGGGTGCGGTCTGTCATCTCTTGGATCTTCTTCTCGATGGAAGCTTCTTCAGCTTCAGGATCGCAATCGCTCCTGTCCTGAAGCTGCTTCACCTCAATCTCCATGAGGCGGCGAGCATCACGGTCCAGCATGAAGTTGGCGCGAACACACACACAAGCAGCACTCGAAACAGCAGCTTCATCAGAAAGAGCGACAGCAGCAAGACAAGCCAGAGCCCGGGAGCTACGAGGGTTGTTCCCTTCTGGAACCAGACGATGATGCCTGCGAATGCGAAGTTCACAAGCTGCAGCACGATGATGACTCCCGCACACTCTACGATGGCAGAAGCATCCAAGAAGTCAAGATTGATGAACCTGGGTTGGCCCGGTTTAAACGTTTTGAAACATGTTTATGTATAAAGTCCCTTATAAACCCAAATAAGGGAAGAGATAGAAAGAGAACATATCTCAACAGCCAGCTGAGGAACTCTCTCAGCTGCACCCAGGCCTGGATGGGCTTAAATTCGCGTTTCTATTTGTGTTCGATACGGTGTTTTGTTTTTTGTTCGTGCGCGGCGCGACACATGACTTGTTTTTGCTCTGCACACTCTGGATCCAGGTCCTGTCCGGACAGGAGAGAGAGAGAGAGAGAGAGATATGTTGACCCATATGCTCCCACCGACTCACTCACTTGCGGCGTGGCGTGATGGGGCATGCGTCATGTTTCCATGGATTCCTGGATCATAAAATAACTTTTGTTCTGCGGTGGCCCCGGGGCCCGGAGCCCGAAGAGCAAAAACATGCGACCCGGCCTGGATGTCTGATCTCTTCCCGAGGTTCAGTCTTTTTTCCTTCTCCAAGCCTAGGGTCTCGTACAGGAGATCCTGCAGATCAGTCTTCTCCTGGTCGTCCTGCGCACTCTTCGGGAGATCCTGCGGATTTGTCTTCTCCTGGTCGTCCTGCGCACTCTTCGGGAGATCCTGCGGATTTGTCTTCTCCTGGTCGTCCTGCGCACTCTTCGGGAGATCCTGCAGATGTGTTTTCTCCTGGTCGTCCTGCGCACTCTTCGGGAGATCCTGCAGATCTGTCTTCTCCTGGTCGTTCTGCGCACTCTTCGGGAGATCCTGTAGATCTGTCTTCTCCCGGTCGTCCTGCGAACTCTTTGGGAAATCCTGCAGATGTGTTTTCTCCTGGTCGTTCTTCAAACTCTTCTCCCGCCTCTCCTCCATGTACTTTCTTATGTTCTCCAAAGCCTCCCATGATTCGTCCCCCCGCATCTCAATCTGTGCTGAGGTGGTGGCCAGGAACGAGAAAAGCAACATGCGTTCTGGCAGCCGCTTGAACCGCCTGGTGATGCCAACAATAGCAGAGGTGAGTCTGAACCAGTGGCGGGCAGCCACAAAAGCGGAGAGCAGGCCCCATATGCCTGCATAGACATATCTGTTCATACCCCGTCTCCTCCAAGACAGGTAGCTTGGCACACGCTCCTCATGAGCCGCAGTCCAATCCAACCGACACTGCAAGACCACCAGGAATATCCCTAACACCAAGGTGGAAGTCCAAATGAGCACTTTGTCCAAACTCCCGGACCCGACTGAGCCAAAGACGTACTGCTGAAGAGTCTCGTCGTCACCTTGTTGTAATATGCTCTTGAAGGTGGCACAAGGCTGCACTTTCGGAAAATATTCGCCGAATTCGCCCTGCAGCCGCTCCAAGACATCTTTAGCTTTCGGCGGCAGCTTCTTTTCAGCCTTCTTCCTGTGCTTGTGCACATCCTGCGAGATCTCCATAGCATTGACCACCAAGATTCGCCACAGGATGGTTGCACCGAAGGTGCAGGCAACTGCGATCACTCCAACCTCCGCCTGAGGAGTCTCTCTTCAGGGCCTAAGGGAGAACCAGGAGGTCAGCTAGAGAGTCAGGTTAACGGTTCGGAGAACCCTGCCTCGGCAAGGATAGCCTGCGTCACTTGCTTGATGTTGCCGTTTCTCTCACCTTCGTAGAGCCTCAAGTAGCGCCTTGTATAGGTGTACATGGTGTTGTAGCACGCCATGAACAGATTCACCCAAAGGATGCTCTCAATCAGAATCTGCACAACAACGGGCGGATTGGCGCCACCGCCCTTGCCGATGAGAGTCGGTTTGGTTTGGACGGTTTCTACATCCCTGACCGAGGAAGGTTGCTGCTCCTGGACCTCGTGGAAGAGTCGATGGGTCTGGCGACAAGAGTACATCCAAAACATGGCCAGTGTCGTCAGGACACCCAAGAAGGGAGCACCGCAAGACAAGGCCACCAAGCAACTCGTCAAAGTTCCCCACAGCCACCTTTCGCGAATTTGACGAATGGAGAGCGGCGGCTTTGAGGTGCTGGTAGGCTCCGATACCACCTGTGGATCATTCGGTACCTTCGACGCCTTCTTCATGGCATCCTGAACGCAGCAGTCAACTGTCGAAATTGCACAACTGCATCACTGCTGGGGCAACATGGCTTCTAATGCCTTGGTGATGCACGTGGAGACCACACCAGATGAAGACCATACGATGCAATTACCCACGAATGTCGAACGCTGATTCGCAAAAAGTCAAACACAATTGTATGAAGTGTGCAGCTATTCTTTCCTTCCGACATATGGATCCGGAGCGACCACGCACACCGTTGCATCAGGTTGTGTCGCCAAGCGGCTTACGGGTTTACAAAGTGAAGTGCATTCTTCGCCGATTCCACTGGTCCCTTAGCTCCCTGATAGCAAATCATTGGCCACTCAGAATTTAACTGTTGGTGCCCCTAAAAGTCCTGGGGGATATTCCAGAGGAGGATCGCAGACAGAATGCCGGTGAGGCAAGCACCAAACATCACAGGCAAGTATGCCCGCAGCGAGCTTTCGCGGTTCTCTTTGAGGTAGGTGGCCTCGAGCTTGCAGAGACATCGGGGTTCCTGCCCCTGCTGCGCGCAGATCCGAATCTTGCCATCTGCCAGCTTTTCAATATGTTCGAGATTCCAGTCAAGCTTCTGCAGGAGTTCGGCCAATCTATGGCCACATTCGTTCTTTTGTCCTCGAGGGCACACGTCTCAGAGCTGGTGCATCCTCACAAAAGGCCTACTGGATTCTCCAAGCCAAAAAACACATCTCGCACCCTGCTTAGCAGACATGGCAAATCTAGATCGGTCCTGTTATCTTGATCGAGGTCAAGGTGTCGTTGGCCGTTGGACCCTGCTTTCCGCATGGAGATGTGCTCACAGGGTACTGTCTTCCAACCGTTAAGTTTAGCCGATTGACGTCCACCTCCTCAAATCCCACGTAGTAATCTCCGTGGGGCGGTTTCACTAGGAAGCATTTCTCGTTGCAGTTCTCAACAGTCCGTACCGCCTGCCAGTCTTCTGTGGTGACATGCTCACGAAGAGCAGCCACTCGAGAGATGGCGTTCAAAAGCACCAGGCTCCTCCACATGTACCAAAAAATGCTGCACAAACTACCAAGTTCTGTCGAGCCAAGCGCCTGCAACACTTCCTGCGCTGAGAGTAACGTCCCTTTCAAAAGTCTCACCGAAAACAGCCTCGATGCGTCACTCCATGTGCTTGAAAAACGTCTATGGGAATCATGACGTTCTGAGTGACACGGTTCAACAAGAAGAGCAGAAGCGAAAACAGCGGAGAAATACCAGGACTCCCAGAACACATAGGCGAAAGCAGCCTAAAGCCTGATGTTCTTACTCGGAGGTTCATGGTACTTATTAACCAATCATAACTGTACTTATAACTGTACTTATAACCATATTAGGGCACTTATAAGGGGCTTATAAGTGGGTTATAAGTACAGTTCTAACTGGTTCATAAGTACCATGAACCTCCAAGCAAGAACATGACGAGTCACCCCCGGGCCTTTTCCTTCGCTGCAGGTTCCGCCATCCCTGCCCTTGGCACCTGAGATTTCTAGAAATCTAGGCTGCCCAGTAACCAAGGCCTAAAAAGGGTGCTCATTTTTGCTTACAGGGGCTTAGAAGGGAACCTAAGCCCCCAAAAAGGGAATAAGGGTACTACTGGGCATTCTAGAAATTTCATTCCTGCCTCGCATTTGTACAATGATTGTCCTTTACTGGCGCCTAAACTCGTAGGCACTAGTACTCTCATTTCATGGCTACCCTTTCCTTCGCTAGTGTTCTTACACTTGCTGCTGCTGCTACTATGTTGGTTGCCCGCTACTCTTCCGATAGTGATCTCTCTTCTTGCTCATTGCTAAAAAACCGACTCAGCTTCAAACGAACTGCGCTTGCATTCGAAGCGCACGTGAGCCTAAAGCTTCAGAAGCAAAGGATTCTCATCTTCGCAGAGGGTTCCGATTTTTAGGGCTTTAGGGTTGAGGGTTTATAGGCTTTAGGGTTCAGGTCTGGTCTCCTCTGGTCAACCCGCGAGCCGGGAAGGCGCTCCCCACGTACCAAGGCACTCCCCCCCCCTTATATTCAGGGATATTCTCGGCATCATGGTCGGCCTGGATTTGCTAGAGAATTCGTAAAGGCAGGTAGTCTCGAAGTCTCATGGATATGCCAAACCCCCAACACCTGACACAGAGGTCGACGCCTGGAGGCTCAAAGGTGAGTGGAGTTCGGGTTGAGGGTGGAGGGTTCAGGGACTACCAAAACCTTAAACCCGAGACCCTAAATCCTAAACCTTAAACCTCTAAATCCTAAACCTTAAACCTCAAATCCTAAACCTTGAACCCTACTAAACGGCTCGCCCGCGCGCTTTTCTGTCCTTGCGCGGGTCGGCGTAGGCCTCGGTGGCAGGCTTCCGGACGACGCCCAGAAGCCCCCTTTCAAACTTGCCCAAAGGGTCCGAAGTACCTATATGGGGGAGACTTCAGACTTACCCAAACCATACTAGTTCCAATTATAGAAACGCTAAAGCCTAAACCCTAAACGCTAAACCCTAAACCCTAACCCCCGAGCAGCTACATGAGGCCCTAAGAACAAAGCCTGCAACAAACCTCGATCTGGAGCCAGCGGAAACTCACCTCAGCACTGCAACGGCTTCCCCTTTCGGCCGGCCTTCCGGAAAGGGTTCCTTGAAACTGCATACGCTAATCATGAACCAGCAGTGACTAGGTGCGGATCTTGACGTGCCATTCAGGCCCACCACATACTCACGTCAAGTGGCCTGGATGTTGCGTTAAGGATTGCAGGGTGTCGACACATGAGCCCTATAACTACAGAAGGGTCCCGGGACTTAGCAGCATTCCGAGCCGAAATTCCTCTTTCCATATTCGCATGACATGCGTCGGAGGACTGGCTGAACGCCTTTTTCTGTCTACATTCTTTGCAGACCTGGACGATTCTAGGAGTGACACAGGGAAATAAGTTGCGCAGGCTGCTCAGCCGCCAATTGAAACATTTCTACTTACAAACCCACTCTCAGGCTTCATAGGGCCATAGGCTTTCAGGCTTCCAATGCTTCCATTTTTTCCTCCTCTTCTGTCCAATATTCGCTATCGACACCACTCGCATCCGCATCGAACTTGAAGACCTTGTCTTCGCCGTCCTCCACTTTCAGCGAGACCTCTCGCCGGAAACGCTGCACCTTGTTGATGTTCAAGTAGACCATGTAGTCATGAGGCACAAACATGGCAAAGCCGTCGAACATGACGCCTTGCAGAGAATAGCTCTTGCCAGCATACTCCGCCTGGAGGGAAGACATGGTACCGCCTTTGAAGGTCATGGACTCACCATCCTCACTGGTCCACGTTCCACGCCAGTGCAGGGCCTTCTCAGTCTTCTCCCACTCGCGCATGTTCACAAACAAGCCTCCAACCAGGGATGAGCCCTCCCGCTAAACATAAGGACCTATTTCGATTCAGATAATGGAAGGGGTAGCTTGGGTAGTGTCTGCTCTTATTCGGGCCTAGAATAGGTCCAAGCACGGCACGGAGCCTATTACCCTCTTGACCAACAGGACTGATGTAGAGAGCAGGCGGCCGAATCATCAGGTTGGACCCGTCGGTACTAAACACGCTTCGGGAGTGTCTGGATCTGATGAGCTGAACACCTTGTGTGACCCCCCAGGCTTGCCTCCAGTCTTGTTCAGGCGGTACTTCTTGTCATAGATGCCCTCCTCAGGGGCCGACTGCACAGGGCCCAGATACCAGTTGAAATCTCCCAGCCCTGCGCTGTAGCCCAAAGGGCTGCCATCGGACTTCCTGAAAAGGACTGCGGTGCCAGGGCCGCAGGGCTTCTTCATGTTCAGCTCATACTTGTACCTATACTCCCCTTAGAACCTTAAGAAAAATACTATTTGTAATATCCTCTTGGGTTTTATATAAACAAAAGTAAGAAATAATTCCCCAAGGGGGATATAGGTACTTGGAGCGGCAGTAATGGATGGGCCCGTAGGCCTCGGACTCCAGGAAGAAGCCTCCCTCCCTCTTCATCAGCACCGACTTGTCTGTGCCATTGGAGTACTCTCCTAGGATGGCCCTCAAAAACCCTCTCAAAATTGTTCCTAGATATGATCCTCTTAAGCCCAATAACCCTAAACCCTAAACCCTAAACCCTAAACCCTAAACCCTAAACCCTAAACCCTAAACCTCCCAAGGGCCTACCTAGTCTCCCACCATGGACTCCCAGTCTTCCCTACCATCATCCTCTGCAGCCCGGAGGGGGGTGATGCGATTGAAGAGGAAGCTGGTGAAGTTCTTCACGAAGTCTTCGCGAGACACGCAGAAGTTCCCCTCATCTTCGCGGCTGAAGCCCAGGTCGCTCAGATGTGCCGCGACTTCGGGATGCTCATCCCACTTCTCCGACTTGTCGGACCAGTCCCCGGTCCACTCCTAGGACAGCTCTTAAAAACCCTCTGAAGAATATTCCTGAAGATGATCCTCTTAAACCCAATAAGGGAAGCCACTTCAAAATGTAAAATACCCCAAGGGCCTACCTAGATTCTGAGTGCCCCCAAGGATTTTGAAGCTGCACTAAGGAGATGTCTCCCACTGCATGCGTGCCACAGACCCCATAGGCATGATGCGCAACGAGGCCATCTCCCCTCTTGGGATTCTTGGGACAGCAGGTCACGACCGTCCCAGGTTCAGAGATCAGATATTCAATGAACTCGGCAAACTTCACATCGTTGGACTCGGGAGTGTTTACTGACAGGGTGTGGCCACCGAACATCAAGCAGACCATGTCCATGCCTGTTTTGATCTCCAGGCCGGCGTCATAGCGGTTGCCATGACCCTTCATCATGTCATAGTTGGCATCCGAAAGCTTCGCCGTCATCTTCTCCATCAGGCTAATCCAAATGGTTCCATGGGCTGGATATGCGCCGCTGGGACTGCCGGGGATTCCTGGGACGATGTCATCGATAACGATGTAGCCGACACGACCCTTGTACTCCACCTTGAAGGTGTAGATGCCGTTGGGATCAAGCCCACCAGCAGACACATTGGCAAAGACCTCTTTCACCTTGTCCGGGTACATGGCCATGACCGCGTATGATGCCATGAACTCGCAGTCTGGCATCGACACTTGCTTCACGTGGTGGAAGGCTGGACCCTCTTCGGGCCACACGCATTTGGCGTTGGGATCCTCTGCCAAGCGATAGGCGCAATGGGGCTCGGGCATCAGTTCGTTGAACTCCGGGTCCACGAACTTGGCATCTCCCAGCTTACCACGAATGGCTTCAGTGGGATCCTCTGCAAAAAGGAAGTTGTAGGGCCCAAAGCGTTCGCCCAAAGTCGGCCAGAGCTCCTTCAAGGAATCTGGCACCTCGGGCATCTCCTTGCAAGGATGGACATGGCTCGCCTTCTCCACTGCCTGCTTCAGGACTCGACGTTGCTTCAAGTCCAGGCCTTGCACGCACTCCTTGAGTTCTGCCACCGAGGCCTTGGCAAGGCCTTCGCTAAGCTGCGAGGCGCCGCTGCCCATGGCGAGTAATCAAGGCACGAAAGTCACGAAAGCATGCCTGGTGAGGTTGTAGTGACTGATAAACTGGTTGTGAATGGATTGTACATGGCTTGAAGCCTCGCATGTGCATCAGCATGCAAGCTGGAGCAATCCCTGGTCTACAAAAGTCCCTCTGTGCGTTTTGGGGCGTTTGCGTGTTTCCCGAGCAGGCGTAGATTCGTCGTGCTTTCTGAGCTCTCGGGTGCATGATGGTGGTGGGTTACAAAAGGGCATCAAAATGCTGCAGCTTAGATCAAGTACATTGCTTTGAAGCTGTCTGACCTACATGCTCAGGGTTGCATCACTACACAAGTCTGTCTGAGTTTTCTACTTTTTGCTGCTGCATCCCCAATATCTGGAATCTGAAAAGAAAGGAAGGGAGAGGTGAGTTCTTTGGCCTTTATCATCAACTGCAATGATGGAAGTTAGATGTTGGGGGCAAACCTTCCTCTGAGCAGATATCCTATTGAAAAAACTGGGGCTTTACGAAGAAAAGGAGCCCTTATGTAGACTCCCGAAAAGTAGGATTCCCTCATCATGGGGAAAGGTACCCCTGATTGCGGAATCCCCCATCTCGTTTGTTCAAACGTGGGTCGCAGAGCTCACCCTGTGCGAAACACATTCAAAAGCGTGGGGAGAACGGACTCCGATGAAGGGGAGCGTTCTCGACTCTTCATGGTTTCCTTGTCACTGAAACCGACAGGGTACGCCTGTGGGATTTTAAGGAGGCAAAGAGACTCGCCAACCTCAAAGGCAGTCGGGAGGAACGATCTTTTCACACAGCGCTGGCATGCCACGAGAGACATTCGTCAGGCCGTGTTTCCACCTCGACATCTGTCTACGGGTTTAGGGTTTAGGGTTTCGGGTTTGGGGGTTTAGGGTTTAGGGGTTTAGGGTTTAGGGTTCAGGGGTTTAGGGGTTTAGGGTTTAAGGTTTAGGGGTTAGGGTTTAGGGATTTAGGGGTTTGGGGGTTTAGGGGTTTAGGGGCCGGGCGGTTGAACTGCTTAATCTTGAGATTAGGGCAAGTGGAGATACAGGTTCTGCTTGAAAGTCTTACTACATGGCGCCTCATCACCCAGAGTGAGTCTGCAATGGGGCAAAACCACGAGGCCACCACCCTCCCTCCGAGGGCAGGTTTAGGGCTAAGGGTTTAGGAGGTTTGGGATGAAGTTTGTCCCACCATATACTTGGTAGGCCCGAAACCATATCATTGGTTACATTTATCAGGGAACCTTGAACCCCAAAACTCGGGAAACGGGTACCTGTCATTGCTTCTCGTTTGTGGGGCTATGGGGCTGGGAGTTGTCTTTATTATGGAGATGGTTCCGGCGTATGAGGCACGAAGACGTGGAAGGTGTTGCAATCCCTAGGTCCTAGCTGATGGGCGGGCACAACTACCCATAAACCTCCAACTCTGAACCCTACTTGAAGGTTCATGGGTAGCTAGATGCACGGTTACAAGTGCCCTAGATCAGGACATTGACCAGTTATCATTCGAGTTGCCTTACTTAGAACCCCACTTATCACTACCCTCGAACCTCCTGTAGGGTTATGGGTTTGGGGTTTAGGGTTTGGGTTTGGGGTTTGGGGTTTGGGGTTTGGGGTTTGGGGTTTGGGGTTTGGGGTTTGGGCTTTAGGGTTCAGGGTTCAGGGTTTAGGGTTTAGGGTTTGGGTCGCATAAACGGGGAGCCAAGATGCTCTGGAGCTTTTCGAGCTCGATGCTGTGGACTTAGCACTTGGCGGTTGCGAAATGAAGCGGAGCGCCTGGAGGTGCCATTTCTTAGGAATTAGGCTACTGGCTTCTAGGGTTTAGGATTTAGGGTTTGGGGTTTAGGGTTCAGGGTATAGGGTTTATAGGGCTTAGGGCTCAGGCTCTGGGCTTCTAGGGTTTTGGGATGTTTTGGGTTTGGGGTTTGGGGTTTAGGGTTTTGGGTTTAGGGCTTTGGGTTCGGGCGGGAGTTTGGGTGGGTGGCGGGGGGGGGCAGGGTTAGGGGGGTTTTGCGTACATTCGTGGCGCTTTGCTGCAAGTCGTTTGAGCAGAATGTAGTGCTCTGCTGCAGGATCCGTTTCGCAGGTTTCGAGCCTCGACATGCGCTCCCCCCCCCCCCCCCCACCGTCGAAGAAGAGTCCGACAGGCTTTGGGGCCCTTGGGTTTGTTGGGTTTAGGGTTGAGGGCTGAGGGGTTGCCAGGTGTTGGGATTTTTAGGGGCTGGTCTTAGGCTCATTCGATTCGGTACCTCTCTGCGGGTTGTCCATGGAGTCAGGGCCATGGCTATAACCTGTCCTGTGTAGACTTTTCCTGTCCTGTGCAGGGTTTTCGGCAGCCACATCTGCCATTTGCCGAAAACAGGTTGGGAGGTGTTGGCTGGAGATCGCCGGCGTTCAGTGCTTTTCGAGGGCAGGCTTAGGGTCTTGGATGGTTTCGCGTCTAGGGGTCTAGGAGTTTAGATAGGCACTTAAGGTTTCGGGTTCAGGGCTTAGCGGCCCCTTCGCCCTAAACCCTAAATAGGCTTTTCTCGTCGTACTGTATACGGCCTCTACAAAAACTTGTAAGGGCAACTCGCCATACTGAGCCCTTGGGCAGCTTTCCAGGCCTTCAGGTTGCAGAGCTCCTTTGCACGGCTCCTTTACAAGAGCGCTTCCTGGCCACGGGAAGTGGGGAACGATTGTTTCAAGTCGTCGGATTCTTCAGCAGTACGCAGCCGAAAAGGTTTGGGGTTTAGGGTTTAGCAGGGTTCAGGGATCAGGGTTCAGGGTTTAGGGTAGCATCTCGCTCGTAGTGGGTGGAGGTGGTGAAGCTGACCCAGTATACAGTGCCTAGACAAGCTGGCACACGGGTTCACGGCCGAAAGGGCCTCTTCTGGCCCAGAACCCCATTCTGGCCTCGAAACCCTGGGTCTGGGGCAGATGAGGGCTTTCCCCTTTATTCTTTCTCATCTTCGAGGGTGGGGTGGGGCAAAGCAAAAAACATGAGGTTCACAAAATTATGTTTTTTTGGGTCAATCCGGACCAATGTCTCGTTGATTCTTGGGTGGGTTGGCTCGAAGCAACGAAAAAAGGCGAGCGCTCGAATTGCAGTCTGAAACACATCCATGCGGTTGTACGAGGACAAGAAACATGAGGTTAACAAAATTAGGTTGTTTGTTGGCTGTTCGTGCCCGGTACGAGGGTGGGGTGGGGGAAAACCAGAAACATGAGGTTAACAAAACCAGGTGCTTCTCTTTTTCGGCTGTTCGTGCACGAAACGAGAAACCATGAGGTTGTAAGAGGATGCCGCCCGCCACTTTGTTGTTCCTGCGACTGAAAGTCCCCCGGTGACCGTGCCTCTTTCTGGGCTCCTGGACCGCTCCATGACAGAGTCCCGCCCCCCCTTTATGTCAAAAAGAGACACGGTCACCGGGGAACTTTCAGTCGCAGGAGCCGCAAGCACGAACAAATCCAGAAAGTAAGCAATCAGCATTTCATCAAGCATGAAAACCACGCACAAAGTAAGCAATCAGCACCCCAGCAAGCATCAAAAACCACGCAGAAAGTAAGCAATCAGCACCCCATCAAGCACCCAAAACCCAGGAATAAGAGTAGAGAGAGAACAACGAGCGGAAAGAGAACGACTACGAGCAGAATGAATACGAGCAGAGAGATAAAGAATAAATACGAGCAGAATGAGTACGAGCGGAGAGAGAACGAATACGAGCAGAATGAATAATGAGGTTGAGGGACAGGGCATGCTGATAAACATAACATAAACTTCATGTTTCTTCATGTTTTGGGATTCTCTGAATTTTTTCGAGAGTCGAAACAGCGGCTCTACTAGAGATTGCTCGACCCGGAGCTGCTGAACCCTAAACCCTAAACCCCTAAACCCCTAAACCCCTAAACCCTAAATTCTAAACACTGCCGAAAAACCTAACCTCTTCCCTGATCGAATATTCCTCTCCCCCTGCAGTCGTTCCTTGGGGCCGAAAGCACAAGGCAACGGGCATCCGAAGACTGTTGGGGTTTCAGGGTTTCTGGGTTCCGGGTTCACTATACTCCCCTTAGAACCTTAATATATCCTCTTGGGATTTATATAAACAAAAATGAAAAATAATTCCCAAGGGGGACATAGTTCACTGTTTCCGAATTTCTGGGTTTAGTTAGGACACCAAGCCTGTTTCCAAGGACTGAGAAGGGTCGGTGGTGTGAGAAGCCCCTCCTGCAAAGTGGCTTCTGCCAGGGTCGTTTGGTGCTCGGCCCTTCTGCCTAAACCCTAAACCCTAAACCCTAAACCCTAAACCCTAAACCCTAAACCCTAAACCCTAAACCCTAAACCCTAAACCCTAAACCCTAAACTCAAGGCCTAGGCCGCCCCCCTACAGTTGGGGGGCGGCGCCTAAGCCCCTCGACCTGGATGGCGCAAGCCGACCCAGGTCGTTCGCCCGCCTCCCACAGCTCGGAGGTCGGTAGCACCCATGATGTGCCCGGTACCGGAGCACGTTCTCCTCAGAACCAGTACTGGTCCCTTATTAAAGTCAATACCCCAAAGCTCCCAGCTCTGTGAGGCCCGGCCTTGGCCTCAAGGGGGGCCCCGGGCCCCGGACCCCTCACCGCAGCGCAAAGCCTCAGGCCAGGCCAGGCAGGGCGGGTGCTCAAAAACTCAACTTTTTTCTGGCCCCCATTCCCGACCCCCCAATTCCTTTGCCTCTCGGAGTCAAGGAACGTCATGAAACTGAATAAGTTTTTAGAAGTGGACTGTTGTCTGAGTTTAGGCCTAAACCCTAAAAGGAACAGGTTTGGGTGGCTTTGCCGCCTTGGACGGCGTGGGGTGGGAGAAAAGTGTTAGACGGCCCTCCACAATCGGGCCAAAGCTGCTCTTCGCACCTCACGAAGCTTTCGAGCTTGTTCCGAAGCCTAACCTTCACAACATCTACGCCCTATCACAGCAAACCCTAAACCCTAAACCCTAAACCCTAAACCCTAAACCCTAAACCCTAAACCCTAAA